TTTTTGTTTGTGGTGTTCTTGAGGGCTCTTGTTGCTTTTTTCCTTCATTGAGGAATTACTTATCAGCTACTGTTTCATAATTGATCAGCAATTATCCTTGACACTTTTATCGCGGGAGCTGTCTTTAAATTTATATAACATGCCTGACTTTTCCCACTTCCAACTAAAATGTTCAGATAACGCTGACCTTGCTGGGTTGATGTGAGATACTCGACTTCCTACAGTACCAATAATACGGTAACCCAGCGTCCACAAACCGAAACAAATCGCCAAAACACCAAACAGCAGCACGTAAATGGGAACCTGCAATGATATGGTCACACTAATCACGTTCGCACGGATGTGGGAATAATGCAGATTATTATACTTTTGTGCTGAAGAAGAAAGAATAACACTCGTTTCAAATGAAAATATCTCACGAAGAACGCATCCTACACTATGTCCAAATAAAGTGCGCGCAGCCACGCTTACTCCATCGCTGGGATGTGGAGAGTATGTATTTTCATACACTCACCTCAGTTTCCTGTTTAGCATTCTGGTCCTTGTACACAGAAACCAATGTGGCAATTGGAGCGATGGCATTACTGAAAAATTTTCATTGAACCCTTACGATTGCGGCCGTAACAGAGATATGAGCATGTACGAGCGAAATATCAAGAACTATTAGGTCGTTGCAAAAGAAATGCAGGATTTTGCTTGCTTGTATTTCATACTTATTTTATTCCAATAATATGTTACTTTAATATGAAGTGTTATATACTATTCGGAAGCTCATCTCATGCTCTTTCTAAATGATACTCCAAGATTGGTTGTAATTCATTTTATTATAATTTTTATTGACATTTTATTGCAGATGTCGAAACGTGAATTTCGCACTATTTTCTTCTATGAGTTCAAGCTAGGACGAAACGCTGCCGATACAGCTCGGAACATCAACGAAGTTTGGGGTCAAGGAAGTATCAACGAATCTACGGTCCAACGTTGGTTCCAGAAGTTTCGCTGTGGCAACACCAGCCTTGAAGATGAACTTCATGTTTGGTGGTCTGCCGCCGGTCTCATCCATCACAGCTTCCTGAATCCTGGTGAAACAATTACGGCAGAGAAGTACTGTCAACAAATCGACGAAATGCATCAGAAGCCTTAACGCATGTGCCCAAGGTTGGTCAATATGAAGGGACTCCACGATTCCGGACTCTTCTCCACGACAATGCCCGACCACACTTTGCACAATTTACCCTCCAGAAAATAAACGGATTGGGCTATGAAACTCTGCCTCATCCACCATACTCACCAGACCTGTCGCCCACCGATCACCACTTTTTCAAGCATCTGGACAACTATCTTAGAGAGAAAGGCTTCAAAAACCAAGACGATGTCAAAAACGCCTTCAACGATTTTGTGGCCTCTAAAAAGAATTACAACCAATCTTGAAGTATCATTTAGAAAGAGCATTAGATAAGCTTTCGAATGATATATAACACTTACATTTTATTGGAATAAAATAAGTATTAAATACAAAAAAACGAAATCCTGCATTTCTTTTGCAACGACCTAAATAGCACCTTTGAGAGTATTTGCATAATTAAATAAACAAACTGAAGAACATCCATGAAACAACATGGACGTATCAAAATGCGATTTCAAAGTGGGCCGCGGATCTCCAACCAATATTGAACTTTCTCTCGTGTGCTCACCATCAGAGACGAATTCTACTAATTAGCAATCACTTGAAAAGTTTAGCTCCCTTCTACATAGTACCCCTAGCACGGTACCCATATCTGACAAATACTCGAAATCCCAGAGATGGGGTAGGCGTGGCTGCATGCTTCAACTTAACCTGGAGGAGTCTATGCTTCTGGTGAGATATTTTCATCTTGACACAATTGTCGTGTCTCTGTCCAACACAGAACAAGATGACAGTTGTCCCAGACTGGAATATTCCACGAGTAACCAATTCCGTGCCATGTTCAAATGCCACGCCTACTCTGGCTCAGGGATAAGGAGTGTATCTTGTATCGAATATTTACTGCAGCGCCGGGGCAAGCAAGCTAAGAACGGTGGAAGACCTGCTTGTCTGTTCCGACAAAACCCAAGCCGAGATTTCACTGCTCGGCCGCTCGTGGAGTGAGAGTTTCATTTTCTTAGACTCCAGTGAAAAAGGTAAGAGAAGCTGCCCATGACAGTGTCTATAAATCTATCGCTCTGGAGGTATGGTGATGTTACTATCGGCGTCTTTTGTTGCTGCTGCGCAAGACCATCATCTTTATAAAAAAACTATCGCTCTAATGGCGGATGGTGTAGTGACAAGTCGGCGGCGCTCCCACTCCGCGCGTCTCGGGTTCAAACCGGTCGACATCCGCCAAGGCTCACCAAGTCTTCTACCCTCCAGGGACGGTGAAGTGATATCAGGTTTGTCCGGGAGGATGAAACAGTGACTTGTGCATCGGCTGGGCCCTCAAGTATTGTAATGGGCCACAATCGCATTCATAAAAGGGTGCGATTCTGAACGGAGGTAAAATTTGTCCCGCCTCCCACAAAGGGATTGATCAGCGGCAAAGACTTTATCCTTTATCGCACGAAGTAGTTGATTCGTGCTCGCGCGTACCCACAACCTGAGGGTAGGCTGCCACGTTGTGGACAATTTCCACAAAATACGACCCTCCCCTCCCGAAATTTTCCTTTTTTCTATCTAGTACGATTCACTCTCCTATCCTACTTGCGAGCTTGACAACGTTCCTAAAAATTTTGCCGTCGAGCAGGGTGAGTTGAGGGGGTGGGCACCTCCGGTCAACCACTAGAAATAGAAATTTCGTTAGCGTCGCCAACTAGGAAAAACACATAGAGTGCATGTGACGGCAAAATCCCACAATCAAAAAAAATTATTCTCATGGCAAGTGTGACAATATGACCCTTATCTTCGGCGTCTGAATATAACCCCACTGTTTTATACTACGGATGGTAAGCGCTGGAATGCATAGAAAAACAGGTATTTTTGTGTAGCATCTCCTAGCCCACCCACCTCCTGGAGGAAAGCGATCGACATTGAGATGCGTTGGCGACATTCTGCAGGAAGACAGTTTGTCGGCGGCGACGGGGGGAGGGGGCATTTTGCACTTTCACTGCTTCACTACTTCCGGTTTACAAGTCTCACTCTGGTGAAACTTGTGAACTCTTGTGAAGCTGGAGCAAGCTCGTCTAGCATCCATATAAAGGGTGTCAGCTCAAGAAAAGGCTGCCTGGGTCGACACATCGATGCGAAGCATAATGCCCTCCTCCCGTCGCCGAACTGCGCCCAGCTTCTCAGCTGACCCCATGGTGACATCCATAGCGCACACATAGTCGCGGTTTATGGATCTGTGTTTCAGCTTCTCCGCTTTCTCTGTTTCTGCTCGTACATCTACCTTTCCATCCAGTTTACATATATGCAGTCGTTATCATTGAAGTCAGCCGCGGCGCGTCAGCGGGACGTGAGTTCAGCGCGGCATCATCCCAGTCCCGGCTGCTGACACGCCCCAACCGACTTCAGTGATAAAGCCTCTGTGCCGTCGCCTGCAAGTTGCTCCAGCATGTCCCCATTCGTTGTGAGATTATCAGTGAGGGTGCGAGATAAACGTCAAAATACATATGGTCAAGGCTGGTGTACAGTGCGACTTCGAGTCGCGGCAAACGAGGAAAGAGACGTGCTCGGCGGCTTCGCGGCGCGTGGACCCTCTCTGAGCATCACGTCAACTGGCTACGCAAGCGTGCTGTGCCGCGACTCGTAAGTGCACACCCGCTTAGTGCTTTGATTCCACGAATATTAATTGAGTATAGATGTACCTCACGTCGTTGGCTCCAATTGCAAAGCCCGCAAAGCATGCAGTGAAAATTTGGATCCAAGAAAAAAGTTGGATTGTTTTTTCGTCGTCAACTCGGTCCACATTTGTGCGCAAGCAGTCTCTTCATACAGCAGGCATATCCTTAATACAATTTTATTTGAATTCTTATCGAGCTACGCGAATTAAAGCATATAAAAGGGAATGGTAGCAAAAACTGAGGTTCCCAGGGAATAGACTGCTGAGGTTTCCACTCATGGATCACAGAGAAAAAAGAGAAAAGCACCTAATAGGCGGGATACATTTCCGAAATAAGTAAAATAGCAGCGTCATTACGACCACCAAAAGAAGGACGACAGTACGACCCCTCTCACAGCCTACCTGTCAGACTACCGAAGTTTTTCCAACGGGGAGGAAAGGACAGAAACCTCAAGCAACCATCACAAATAGCGGGTATGTGTCAAGAGAATCGTAATTCGCCGCGCCAGTCGGGCGCGCCGGCTCGACGGCTTATCGACGGCCAATTCGGACTATGGTATTTGCCGTTGCAGCATAAGACAGTGGATGGAACAAAAAGACAGGCCATAAATGATCTACCGTGTCCTTGCTTACACATTGACAGTTCAATGCTCCAATCAAAAGGGTAGTGCAAATCAAGGAAACGTCACGCCCACTGACGCGCGACCGAGCAGCACTTCGATTCTCTTGTCCGTCTCCCCACTAATAGCAAGGCTTTTGCGTTTTCAACTGGGAAAGTGGCGAAAGGAATCGACAATCGCAAAAGTTTTGAGAGCGCAAATGCGAAGCCTCTCCTCCAATAACCAAATACACCCCAACTGGATTCGCAAAGGATGTACGTCCTAGTAGGAGTTGGAAGTCGATGCGCTCGTGACGAGTAGAACCCAAATCTTTACAATAAAAAAAGGTGTGAAAAAAGGTTTAAAAAAGGTGAAAGTTATAGCGCAAAGGCTTGGTGTCACGCCAGTGCACTTGCAAGGGGAAAATATGAGAAACAGCAAATAACTTACTTGTGAATAGATCCTGTTCAGAATCACAAACACTAGATTGGCTTGGTGTATAGAGCTGCACAGTTTTGAAAGAGCTGGCACGAACACTGTCGAAATCGACAGCTGTGGAAGCTGTAATATTCGAATTAAAGGCGTCTTCTGTCCGAAAAAAAAAGTTCCGGGAAGTTCCGTTCCTTGCCTCTTCTGATGACGAGCGACCCTATGACCTACAAGATGGGTCTCTAACCTACTAATCTTCTGGTGTAGCATTTCAATAAAAGGGACGGCTCTTCTACATAAGTGGGGGAGCTTGTTACAGTGGGCCGTGCTTCCTGTAGTGTAAAAATGCGAAAGTTTCGAAGAAATATCAAAATGTTGCAAAGATATGCAAAAGTGTGCGCGGTTGAATGGGCGGAGCTTGAGTGCATAAATGCGCGTCTGTAAGTACCTTCCTTATGTGACAAAAAAAATTTGAAATTCAAATTATGAAACAAATTCGTTGGAAATTGGCGAGTTTGCACAAGCGTCATGTACAATTACTTCCAATTAGCGTGTGCGGGCGAAATAAGAAAAATGCGAAAAAAACTACAAACTGAGGTAACAAAATAAAATTTCAAAAATCATGTCCATGCCGAAATGTGGGCGTGGCTGTCGGGGCGAGGCCTGCAGTAGTGCATAGTGTACATGTTTAAGTAAGGTCATGAAGGTGATTTGAAAAATCGTGAATCTAAATGATAAAGTATATATTTTTGCAAAACCCAGAGTTTGCCCAACTCTCCAAGGAGTCAGCGTCGGGCTGTCCTGAACAGTTCGAATTTGTTCGGTCATATTTACGGTTTCGGTTATCTACAGAAGCGGAAAAAAAACACTGAAACAAGCTTTGAAAAGGCATTTTTCAACACTCGCATTTTGTTCTAAGCTATTTAATCTCTTCTTATACACCATTTATTAGGGTCAGAGGATATAATTTTATATAAGACCAATAACATTGGTCTTTGGTCTAGACCGAGATAGTGTAGCGGGCAAGTGGCCTTACTTACCAAAAGCGTGGTCTGGGGTTCAAAGCCCGGAGCGGCTCCCGCCTGAACCAACCGAGTTTTTCGTGCACTGCGCGGCGAAAGCATCAGTGCAATGAGCATAAAAAGTCGACTCCTACATTGCACGCCCTCAGACTGCTAAAGTATTACGAAGCCACTTTCTCAATTAGAGGGATTGACTCGGGAGCTCGAATCTATGTTTCTTTTCAACTTACATAAACTTTCAAGCGTAAAATACGTCAGTAGGTTACTCATCTAGAACATCATCAAGTTTGAAGGGGACTTACCCTGAATTTTACGCCACAATCTTGGCTTCACTAAAAACTGGACCAAGCAACGCAGCAATTGAGGCGATTCCAATTGAGATCAGTACAGCTCCCCAGAATGGGATACGGTCGAAGTGGAGGACTGAAATCAGAATCAATATTCGGACGTTTTAACAACTTAAAGTAGAAGCAAGACCACTCACGTTTGGATCCGTCCCATGTGACCATCAAAACATTGAAGGCGATCACGACAAAGTAAAACACTGGCAGTGAGCGAAGACCACACTCGAACGGATGATTCTGAAAAATCCTCAACATAGTACATCAACTAGAAAAAACATATGGAATGCTCGCGGCGGAGCTGTTTCGTTGGGGGACGCGCCGGGCACTTGATCCCA